TCTCTCTCTCTCTCTCTCTCTCTCTCTCTCTCTCTCTCTCTCTCTCTTTCTCTCTCTCCCTGTGTCTCTCTCTCCCCTTCTCTGTCTCTAATACCATCTTAACTCCCCTCCCCATGCCCTGAATAAACTCTATTCTATGCTTTAAAAAAAGAAAAGAAAGAAAGAAAGATACTACACACTACAAGTCTTCTGCTAGCTGCCTTAGGAACAAGAGGAAACACTCACAGCTCCTCCAGCCCCACATCTGCCTTGATGCTGCTATGCTCCTGAATTGATGATGAAACTACAATTCAGGCCATAAAATGCAACAGGGAGACAGTATTAACAGCCAAACAAAAACAAAGACCTAACACATCCAAGTTCATAGCTATATGAAATCTCCTAAATCTACTAACGTTGCTTTCTGGCTTCTGTATTTCTGTTCCTGGCTTTGTGGTCTTGTTAAATGAAGCATGTTAAACCAGAACATGGAGTTTGTGTTTATAAGTTCACCCCAAGACAGGCTCAAACTACACTGGGATCCTAAACGTCATGTGTAACCTGCTAATGAAGACTTCCTATTGGCTTAACCCATGTCTAAGAAGTCTTCTCAGGTAGATATCAAACAGCATTTTAAAAGATCACAATGTTCTCCTGTTTCTCACTCATTTCTGTTTTCCTGTGTCCTTGTTTCCCTGTACAGGCTAATGGTTTTCACTTGTGTAAGACCCCATTCTAAGGATTAAGACTTGTGACCCTTCCAATTGAGGACGCGAATCTTTTGGCTCTTCCAAATTACACAGAGAAAGAAATAAACAAAACCCAAAAGCCCCACTCTGGAGCTCTTGCTTGTCTTGTAGCTTTACCCTTGGCAGGGACCCTGAGGTAGAGCCTCCTACCCAGGCACCCTGCCATAAAAGTGGAATGCACACCAGAAGGTAAAAATAGTTCCCCAGGCTCCCTGCCTACTCTAAGCAGCACCAGGTTAAAAAGGGAGGAGGAAAGAGGTCCAACTCCCCTGTTTTCTTTCATTATTTTTCTCATTTTTTTTCCTCAACCAATGTTCCTTATATTTGGAAAATTCAAAATTCACTGCTCTGTGGGGGGGCAAAGAAAAAGTGCCTGGGACTGATCAAGGGTAGAGCTGCCTGACATTGCAGGCTGGACAAGATGCACTTTTCTGTCTGTATAACACTGACAAAAACAAATGTCAACCCTTTCATTATGTTCTTTTTAGAAGAATTAAAGACAGCTGTCACCCAGTAGGCTTCAGATATTTGAAAAAATCATGATTAAAAATTAGAACAATAAAGGCAAAACTATGTCCCAGTTGCTGGAGGGAGCTCAAAAGGTTTTGAACAACAGAGATCTGATCAGGACACGACCATAGACATGAGCTGAAAGAAACTGCCCCCTCTGCTGGTGAGATGCAGACACAATACCCAATGACCCCAGAAACACAAAGGGGAAATGCAGTCCACATTGCCTAGCTGGGAGAGAAAGGCACCATGGTGCCCTGCCAGTTTCCCTGGATCATGCATTCCTGCCAAGGAAGAAAACTGAGAGCTCTGATTCTCATGAGTCTGATTCCTCCAGAGAACCACCTGTGTACACTGTCTTGAACACGGAAGACAGAGACATATTCTATACCCTCCCGCTGGCACAGGCAAATCAGCCCATCTCTGCTTTTAAGTGGGCAGATCCAGAGAGGGGTTACCATTGGCAACTTACAAGAACCAGATTGCCCAAAGGATTTAAAAAAAAAAATCTCTCTGACCCTATTTGATGAAAGTCCAAATATTGCCCTCCAGTCCTCCCATCCGAGGTTTTCCAGGAAATTAGAATATAAAATGCTCACAAAGGGACTACTACAAGAGTTACACAGTCCTTGGGCTACAGAATATCCACTAAGAATTGTATGTATCTCAGGCTACCTATCTTGGCTACCAGCTGAGAGGAGGCAAAAGGAGCCAGACTCAGAGCAGGATTGCAGCCATCCTTCAAACACCAGTTCCAAAGATAAGAGACAGGTTCCTTGGTGCAGCTAGGCATAGCTGCCTCTGGATAGCTGTGTTTGCTGGGCAAGGAAGAAGGCTTACTAAGCCCCTGGTCTGGTTAAGACAGAAGATATTTCAGGCTATAAGAGGATTTCTGACTTCAGCTCCAGCCCTAGCAATTCCAGATGTCGCAAACCACTTTCATCCTTTTGTCCATGATAGAAAACACATAATAAAAGGGGCTTTAGAACAAATTGTGGCCCATAGACATGCTCTGTGATATACATATTCAAATGATTGGATCATATACCCACAAGATCTTTCACTTGTCCAAGAACTGTGGCAACTACTGTGACTCTAATGAACCAAAGAAAGAAACAAATTGAAGAAAAGAAAGCAAAAACAAAACAACAACAGCTACAAACAAAACAAAACAAAGACACAAACCACAAACTAACAAACAAAAAACCTTCATTCACTGAAGGATCAGGACCAAATACTCACAGCACTCCAGGACTGAGGTGAAGCCCTTCTCCAGGGAACACCAGAATGCTGGGTGTCTACTACCTGTGTGACTCTGTTACGGATCCTACTCCATGACTACACTCCAGTCCAGTTTAAGAAACACACCAGCCTCAATCCTGTTATCTTCTTACCTGCTGCTAGCTTTCTGGTGTTCAAGTATGACTGCTCAAAGCCCAGGTTTATAAGTAGGCACTTTAACCAAAACTATTTGGGCCCAAGCCAGGTTTCTCAGCCCAGAGGGCAGAGCTGAAGAATCTGACCCAGGCTCACAGGTGGGGAAAAGGAAAGTGCACCAGCAGACACAGGACACTGCCTATGCTCTTTTGAGCACACGTGCCCATGAGAGGTATGAGGGCTTCTCACCACTGGGGAATGGGACATTAAACAGAGGTCACCTTGCCTCCCCCAGAGGATTTTTGGCTTCCCCTACAAATTGCTAGCCTTCACTGCCAAGAACATCAGAAAAAAACTCCTCTGAGTCAAGTGGTAACCAGGCAGCTGACCTGAACTGCCTGACGAAAGCCCTCAGACCAGTGGGGCCTATTGATATGCTCAGGATATACATTGACCTGGCATTGCCTCAGAGAGATACTGTGGCACAACCAAGAAGAAACAGAGGATGTAAAAGAAAAAAATGGACATCTCAAGCCCTCAGTTAGATGCAGAGGGAGTGATTGTTTCCCCCAGAAACAGTTGGATACACTCTGCTAACTGACCTTTGCCAGGCTATTTATCTGGGGTCCACAAAACATTCTGAGTTGCTCAGACCAAGGTATGTTATACCCAGACTGAACAGCCTGACTTAGGATGCCTCAGTCAGATGCCTGGTTCATGCTCAAGTAAATACAAAACACAGAGCCCTTTCCTAGGAAGAGATCTCAAAAAGAGGCCAATGCTACTGTAAACACTGGAAACACTTACTTCACCAAGCTCTGGCCTGCCATGTCTACTAGGTATTACAGATTCCTTTTCGAGGGGGGTAGAAGCATAGTGTACCAGGACTGAAAGTGCTCAACTAACAGCTTAAAAAGTCCCTCCAGGAGCTGGTCCCTTGATTTGGACTCCCCCTACTGAAGGGTTCTGAAAATGGCCTGGCTTTCATAACCAAAACCTCACAGTTAATAGCTAAAGGTTTAGGCATAGATTAAACACTCCATTGTGCTTGTCGACCTCAGAGTTCTCCACTGGTATGAAAATAGCAAGACATTGAAAGAAACTCCAACAAATGTTCATTTGAGTGCAGCAAAAGGTGGGTAGACCTCCTTCATTTGTTTTGCTTTGGATACTCTGCACCCCGTTATAGAGAGATTTACCCCTTATGACATTATGTTTGAGATCTCCCCCACTGCTTCCCAGGCTCAGAGACCAGCAGTTGGTGCAACTGTCTAACCATCCCATTCTCAAGTGGCTAGAGACCCTCCAGGTTTCCATGAAGGCTATTCCTTGGACTATGGAAGACAACCAGCTGACTTTAGAGCCCACCTCAGTCTCTCCTTATTGTAACCTGGTGATACTGTCTGCTCAAGCAGGGGTCCACATGGGCAGTGGAGCAGACTGCAGAAGGATCCAATTGGTAATTCTCTCCAACCCTCCTGCTGCGAAGGTAGCTGATGCTACACTGTGGATCCACCACATCCAGATCCGGAGAGCACAAACCAGGGATGACGATTGTCAAATGGTCTCTTTCCAGACTATGAACCATCACATTGAATGCTTCTTCAGGCCCGAGGTTCTTCCATGTTTTACTCTTCCACCTCCTTATGAGCCTTTTGTTTGGGGTGGCAGAGACAGGAATGGTAGTAACTAATGTGACTATACACCAGCAACCTACATTCTTCCTGACTTGTGCTCATTGTTCCTTACATTAAATGTCTGATTGTACTTACTGAAAAAGGGTAAGATGTGGCAATTGATCTTTTGGGATAAAAATTCAGAGTCTGCCATTCAGTGCATGCCGTGTGGCTGGGCCTGCTAGTTGTTGAGGGCAAGGGAGTTTCCATTGCAAAATTTGGGGTTGTAAGACAGAGGCTTTCTAAAAACACATGGATGAATACACAGAAACATTCCTCTACCAAGGAATGTACAATAGGAAATATAACTGAAGGCCACAAAATTAAAATTCTGGAAATTCTCTAAGAAAGTATCTGGCCTTGCGAAAACAAGAGGAATGAAACTCTATGCCATAGGATTGTATCCTGGGGTAGAGTTTATCTTTCACTGCCAGAAGTCAGCCAGCGTTGCTGGTTATGCTTAGACACCCAGCCCTCATTCTATACACGGATAGGAAGTCTGCACACTGTCAGTCAGCCCATTGACAGACAAAACTCATTGTGACTGAGGGCAGCCAAAATTAACACTAGAGGTCTCGACCTAGGCACTTGCTTCTGTCTTCTGCAGGCAACTGAATACAGACACATACACATGAACAAATAAAACAAAATCTTGGAAAAAGAAAAACCATATCCAACACCTTCCGACTATGTTTATTTTTCTACAAAGTGTATACAATAACACATATAGAAGAAAAACCTAACAAAACCTGTAGAGATTGAGTGCTGACATTGTATACCAGGCACTAACCAAATATAGGCCTTGCTGAGGTTTGAAGTTAGCACTGCCTTTAAAGCATGCTTCCATTAGGACCCCTCACAGGCTTACAATTAAGAAAGTGAACATCCAGCACACAAGGCGATAGGAAGGAAGGAGATCTTCACAGTAATCTTCGGCCATGTCTGAGAAGAAAGTAAGGCCCTGTCCAAGGTCATGTACTCTCATCCATAAGCCTGGGCCACATGAGATATCTGCACACACAACTATGTCAGCCTTTACAGCACAGGGTAAGTTGGCTGCAGTTCTAGTTTCTCAGCTGGGGTGAGGTTTTATTCTGGGATGGGGGCTTTTACTCTCCTGTGTCCCAATAATCTCCCTGTTTTTCTTTCCAGCTAGCTGTCCAAGCTGGCATGAAGCTCACATTCTTCCGTTTTCGGTGCCACCATCTCTGTAGGGAGTTTCCTGACATCCAGGCTGTTTCCCAGAAGCTGAGCCTGTCTGCTTTCACTTTCAGTCTTGTGCTCATAATCACAACAGGTCCAGGTTGTCCTGAATTGGCACCTCAAAATCTTTCCTTACAAAAAGAGGTAGAGGAAAGCCTGTGTGTGTGTGTGTGTGTGTGTGTGTGTGTGTGTGTGTGTGTGTCTGTGTGTGTGTGTGTGTGTCTGTGTGTCTGTGTGTCTGTGTGTGTGTGTCTCTGTGTGTGTGTCTGTGTGTGTGTCTGTGTGTTTCTTTTAGCCTTTATTTGGAGACTATGTAGACTTCAAATTCAGGAAGAGTGAATGGACAGGCAAACATGCACAGAAAGTTTTCTATCATGTTGTGTTATGAAACAGACTTATCCGGAAACCCAACTTGAACTCCTAACTCTGGCCATGTTACTGTTTGTCAAAATCTCAGATGGAGCAGCTGACATCCTGACATCCTGGATACCTGGGCTTGATGAACTATTAAGAACACATCAGTGGCTAGAGGGATGGCTCAGTGGCTGAGGATAGGGCTGTCCGCTCTTACAAAGAACCAGAGTTTATATCTCAACAACCATGCAGGGCCACTCACAACTGTTTGCAACTCTGGCTCCAGTGGATTTGAAGCCCTATTCTGTCTTCTGCAGGAACCTGCATACAGACACATACACATGTCCAGGCTTTGTTTCACAGGCTACTTTACAAAGGGGTATCTTTCCTGCCTGGCAGAAGGATACTCTTCGTACTGTGACAACTGGGAAGTCTTCAGTTAAATTTCTCTTTGTGTTACTTCATATTTCTTCAGCAGGTTCCACATTCTCTCATAACAGATGACATGAGTCTGAGTCCTTCTTTAATCCCCTAGGCCTAAGCCTAATTGTATTAGAGAAATATGTGCCTTCCAGGTGAAATCACTCCATCACTTGTAAATTAGTAAGGAAAACTCTTTAGTAATGCACATTACTGGTTCTAGCTCCTGCACAAAAGCAATGAACAGAAACTTCTCTTGGCTTATATATTTTCATAGCCCTGAATTACACTGTGAGCAACTGAAAAAGTCTCAAGGACAGAAAATCTCAGGTTTACTTGTTTGGACAATTGGGGAGATTTGCAGTGCAACATACTGTCATAATTATCTAGCTTCCAGTAGTGGCAGCTAAGTGAGTCTCTTTTCTGTATAAAGTATCCAGCCCTGATTTTTTTTTAATAACACCAAACTGACAGAGGGTAAGCAAATTGTCTCAATTTCTGAAGCAAGTCCCAATGGTAATATCAAAGTGGTATTTCTCTCTATGCTCTTTCTTTCATACTTAATTGATCCTCTAAGAAGAGCTAATGGAGAGGGCAGAGAGAGATTTCCAGGGTTTATGCTGATCCCCTCATACTTTGGAATTGCTCCATTGAAGTGTGGAAGCCAGTCACAAGTCAAGGGATTAGAAGTATACATTGCCACGGCTGATTTTTATCTCCTTACCTCTCTGCTGAGGTTTGGTCTTTTGCTTGTATGTAATGCTAAGTGCAGGTCCCAGGTCTGCACATACACATAGACCCAAGTGACTCTGTGACCTTGCCCCGAAGTTATTTTGATTGATAAATAAAGATGCTGACAGCCAATAGCTCTTTCTGTTCATTGTTTTTGTGCATGAGCTAGAACCAGTCATGTGCATTACTAAAGAGTTTTCCTTACTAATCTGCAAATGATGGAGTGATTTCACCTGTAAGGCACAAATTTCTCTAATACTACTGGTATAGTAATAAAACACCTACCACCAAAAAAGCTCAGATCCAAGAGACCTCATTGGAGAATGAGGAAAAGGAAAAGACTGTTCAGTTAGAGACACTGGCTTCCACACTTCAATGGAGCAATTCCAAAGTATGAGGGGATCAGCATAAACCCTGGAAATCTCTCTCTGCCCTCTCCATTAGCTCTTCTTAGAGGATCAATTAAGTATGAAAGAAAGAGCATAGAGAGAAATACCACTTTGATATTACCATTGGGACTTGCTTCAGAAATTGAGACAATTTGCTTACCCTCTGTCAGTTTGGTGTTATTAAAAAAAAATCAGGGCTGGATACTTTATACAGAAAAGAGACTCACTTAGCTGCCACTACTGGAAGCTAGATAATTATGACAGTATGTTGCACTGCAAATCTCCCCAATTGTCCAAACAAGTAAACCTGAGATTTTCTGTCCTTGAGACTTTTTCAGTTGCTCACAGTGTAATTCAGGGCTATGAAAATATATAAGCCAAGAGAAGTTTCTGTTCATTGCTTTTGTGCAGGAGCTAGAACCAGTAATGTGCATTACTAAAGAGTTTTCCTTACTAATTTACAAGTGATGGAGTGATTTCACCTGGAAGGCACATATTTCTCTAATACAATTAGGCTTAGGCCTAGGGGATTAAAGAAGGACTCAGACTCATGTCATCTGTTATGAGAGAATGTGGAACCTGCTGAAGAAATATGAAGTAACACAAAGAGAAATTTAACTGAAGACTTCCCAGTTGTCACAGTACGAAGAGTATCCTTCTGCCAGGCAGGAAAGATACCCCTTTGTAAAGTAGCCTGTGAAACAAAGCCTGGACATGTGTATGTGTCTGTATGCAGGTTCCTGCAGAAGACAGAATAGGGCTTCAAATCCACTGGAGCCAGAGTTGCAAACAGTTGTGAGTGGCCCTGCATGGTTGTTGAGATATAAACTCTGGTTCTTTGTAAGAGCGGACAGCCCTATCCTCAGCCACTGAGCCATCCCTCTAGCCACTGATGTGTTCTTAATAGTTCATCAAGCCCAGGTATCCAGGATGTCAGGATGTCAGCTGCTCCATCTGAGATTTTGACAAACAGTAACATGGCCAGAGTTAGGAGTTCAAGTTGGGTTTCCGGATAAGTCTGTTTCATAACACAACATGATAGAAAACTTTCTGTGCATGTTTGCCTGTCCATTCACTCTTCCTGAATTTGAAGTCTACATAGTCTCCAAATAAAGGCTAAAAGAAACACACAGACACACACACAGACACACACACAGAGACACACACACACAGACACACAGACACACAGACACACACACACACACACAGACACACACACACACACACACACACACACACACACACACAGGCTTTCCTCTACCTCTTTTTGTAAGGAAAGATTTTGAGGTGCCAATTCAGGACAACCTGGACCTGTTGTGATTATGAGCACAAGACTGAAAGTGAAAGCAGACAGGCTCAGCTTCTGGGAAACAGCCTGGATGTCAGGAAACTCCCTACAGAGATGGTGGCACCGAAAACGGAAGAATGTGAGCTTCATGCCAGCTTGGACAGCTAGCTGGAAAGAAAAACAGGGAGATTATTGGGACACAGGAGAGTAAAAGCCCCCATCCCAGAATAAAACCTCACCCCAGCTGAGAAACTAGAACTGCAGCCAACTTACCCTGTGCTGTAAAGGCTGACATAGTTGTGTGTGCAGATATCTCATGTGGCCCAGGCTTATGGATGAGAGTACATGACCTTGGACAGGGCCTTACTTTCTTCTCAGACATGGCCGAAGATTACTGTGAAGATCTCCTTCCTTCCTATCGCCTTGTGTGCTGGATGTTCACTTTCTTAATTGTAAGCCTGTGAGGGGTCCTAATGGAAGCATGCTTTAAAGGCAGTGCTAACTTCAAACCTCAGCAAGGCCTATATTTGGTTAGTGCCTGGTATACAATGTCAGCACTCAATCTCTACAGGTTTTGTTAGGTTTTTCTTCTATATGTGTTATTGTATACACTTTGTAGAAAAATAAACATAGTCGGAAGGTGTTGGATATGGTTTTTCTTTTTCCAAGATTTTGTTTTATTTGTTCATGTGTATGTGTCTGTATTCAGTTGCCTGCAGAAGACAGAAGCAAGTGCCTAGGTCGAGACCTCTAGTGTTAATTTTGGCTGCCCTCAGTCACAATGAGTTTTGTCTGTCAATGGGCTGACTGACAGTGTGCAGACTTCCTATCCGTGTATAGAATGAGGGCTGGGTGTCTAAGCATAACCAGCAACGCTGGCTGACTTCTGGCAGTGAAAGATAAACTCTACCCCAGGATACAATCCTATGGCATAGAGTTTCATTCCTCTTGTTTTCGCAAGGCCAGATACTTTCTTAGAGAATTTCCAGAATTTTAATTTTGTGGCCTTCAGTTATATTTCCTATTGTACATTCCTTGGTAGAGGAATGTTTCTGTGTATTCATCCATGTGTTTTTAGAAAGCCTCTGTCTTACAACCCCAAATTTTGCAATGGAAACTCCCTTGCCCTCAACAACTAGCAGGCCCAGCCACACGGCATGCACTGAATGGCAGACTCTGAATTTTTATCCCAAAAGATCAATTGCCACATCTTACCCTTTTTCAGTAAGTACAATCAGACATTTAATGTAAGGAACAATGAGCACAAGTCAGGAAGAATGTAGGTTGCTGGTGTATAGTCACATTAGTTACTACCATTCCTGTCTCTGCCACCCCAAACAAAAGGCTCATAAGGAGGTGGAAGAGTAAAACATGGAAGAACCTCGGGCCTGAAGAAGCATTCAATGTGATGGTTCATAGTCTGGAAAGAGACCATTTGACAATCGTCATCCCTGGTTTGTGCTCTCCGGATCTGGATGTGGTGGATCCACAGTGTAGCATCAGCTACCTTCGCAGCAGGAGGGTTGGAGAGAATTACCAATTGGATCCTTCTGCAGTCTGCTCCACTGCCCATGTGGACCCCTGCTTGAGCAGACAGTATCACCAGGTTACAATAAGGAGAGACTGAGGTGGGCTCTAAAGTCAGCTGGTTGTCTTCCATAGTCCAAGGAATAGCCTTCATGGAAACCTGGAGGGTCTCTAGCCACTTGAGAATGGGATGGTTAGACAGTTGCACCAACTGCTGGTCTCTGAGCCTGGGAAGCAGTGGGGGAGATCTCAAACATAATGTCATAAGGGGTAAATCTCTCTATAACGGGGTGCAGAGTATCCAAAGCAAAACAAATGAAGGAGGTCTACCCACCTTTTGCTGCACTCAAATGAACATTTGTTGGAGTTTCTTTCAATGTCTTGCTATTTTCATACCAGTGGAGAACTCTGAGGTCGACAAGCACAATGGAGTGTTTAATCTATGCCTAAACCTTTAGCTATTAACTGTGAGGTTTTGGTTATGAAAGCCAGGCCATTTTCAGAACCCTTCAGTAGGGGGAGTCCAAATCAAGGGACCAGCTCCTGGAGGGACTTTTTAAGCTGTTAGTTGAGCACTTTCAGTCCTGGTACACTATGCTTCTACCCCCCTCGAAAAGGAATCTGTAATACCTAGTAGACATGGCAGGCCAGAGCTTGGTGAAGTAAGTGTTTCCAGTGTTTACAGTAGCATTGGCCTCTTTTTGAGATCTCTTCCTAGGAAAGGGCTCTGTGTTTTGTATTTACTTGAGCATGAACCAGGCATCTGACTGAGGCATCCTAAGTCAGGCTGTTCAGTCTGGGTATAACATACCTTGGTCTGAGCAACTCAGAATGTTTTGTGGACCCCAGATAAATAGCCTGGCAAAGGTCAGTTAGCAGAGTGTATCCAACTGTTTCTGGGGGAAACAATCACTCCCTCTGCATCTAACTGAGGGCTTGAGATGTCCATTTTTTTCTTTTACATCCTCTGTTTCTTCTTGGTTGTGCCACAGTATCTCTCTGAGGCAATGCCAGGTCAATGTATATCCTGAGCATATCAATAGGCCCCACTGGTCTGAGGGCTTTCGTCAGGCAGTTCAGGTCAGCTGCCTGGTTACCACTTGACTCAGAGGAGTTTTTTTCTGATGTTCTTGGCAGTGAAGGCTAGCAATTTGTAGGGGAAGCCAAAAATCCTCTGGGGGAGGCAAGGTGACCTCTGTTTAATGTCCCATTCCCCAGTGGTGAGAAGCCCTCATACCTCTCATGGGCACGTGTGCTCAAAAGAGCATAGGCAGTGTCCTGTGTCTGCTGGTGCACTTTCCTTTTCCCCACCTGTGAGCCTGGGTCAGATTCTTCAGCTCTGCCCTCTGGGCTGAGAAACCTGGCTTGGGCCCAAATAGTTTTGGTTAAAGTGCCTACTTATAAACCTGGGCTTTGAGCAGTCATACTTGAACACCAGAAAGCTAGCAGCAGGTAAGAAGATAACAGGATTGAGGCTGGTGTGTTTCTTAAACTGGACTGGAGTGTAGTCATGGAGTAGGATCCGTAACAGAGTCACACAGGTAGTAGACACCCAGCATTCTGGTGTTCCCTGGAGAAGGGCTTCACCTCAGTCCTGGAGTGCTGTGAGTATTTGGTCCTGATCCTTCAGTGAATGAAGGTTTTTTGTTTGTTAGTTTGTGGTTTGTGTCTTTGTTTTGTTTTGTTTGTAGCTGTTGTTGTTTTGTTTTTGCTTTCTTTTCTTCAATTTGTTTCTTTCTTTGGTTCATTAGAGTCACAGTAGTTGCCACAGTTCTTGGACAAGTGAAAGATCTTGTGGGTATATGATCCAATCATTTGAATATGTATATCACAGAGCATGTCTATGGGCCACAATTTGTTCTAAAGCCCCTTTTATTATGTGTTTTCTATCATGGACAAAAGGATGAAAGTGGTTTGCGACATCTGGAATTGCTAGGGCTGGAGCTGAAGTCAGAAATCCTCTTATAGCCTGAAATATCTTCTGTCTTAACCAGACCAGGGGCTTAGTAAGCCTTCTTCCTTGCCCAGCAAACACAGCTATCCAGAGGCAGCTATGCCTAGCTGCACCAAGGAACCTGTCTCTTATCTTTGGAACTGGTGTTTGAAGGATGGCTGCAATCCTGCTCTGAGTCTGGCTCCTTTTGCCTCCTCTCAGCTGGTAGCCAAGATAGGTAGCCTGAGATACATACAATTCTTAGTGGATATTCTGTAGCCCAAGGACTGTGTAACTCTTGTAGTAGTCCCTTTGTGAGCATTTTATATTCTAATTTCCTGGAAAACCTCGGATGGGAGGACTGGAGGGCAATATTTGGACTTTCATCAAATAGGGTCAGAGAGATTTTTTTTTTTAAATCCTTTGGGCAATCTGGTTCTTGTAAGTTGCCAATGGTAACCCCTCTCTGGATCTGCCCACTTAAAAGCAGAGATGGGCTGATTTGCCTGTGCCAGCGGGAGGGTATAGAATATGTCTCTGTCTTCCGTGTTCAAGACAGTGTACACAGGTGGTTCTCTGGAGGAATCAGACTCATGAGAATCAGAGCTCTCAGTTTTCTTCCTTGGCAGGAATGCATGATCCAGGGAAACTGGCAGGGCACCATGGTGCCTTTCTCTCCCAGCTAGGCAATGTGGACTGCATTTCCCCTTTGTGTTTCTGGGGTCATTGGGTATTGTGTCTGCATCTCACCAGCAGAGGGGGCAGTTTCTTTCAGCTCATGTCTATGGTCGTGTCCTGATCAGATCTCTGTTGTTCAAAACCTTTTGAGCTCCCTCCAGCAACTGGGACATAGTTTTGCCTTTATTGTTCTAATTTTTAATCATGATTTTTTCAAATATCTGAAGCCTACTGGGTGACAGCTGTCTTTAATTCTTCTAAAAAGAACATAATGAAAGGGTTGACATTTGTTTTTGTCAGTGTTATACAGACAGAAAAGTGCATCTTGTCCAGCCTGCAATGTCAGGCAGCTCTACCCTTGATCAGTCCCAGGCACTTTTTCTTTGCCCCCCCACAGAGCAGTGAATTTTGAATTTTCCAAATATAAGGAACATTGGTTGAAAAACAAACAAACAAACACAAAAGTTATGAAAGAGGAAGGAGTGAGTCTCTCCCCTCCCCCTTTTTAACCTGGTGCTGCTTAGAGTAGGCCGGGAGCCTGGAGAACTATTTTTACCTTCTGGTGTGCATTCCACTTATAAGGCAGGGTACCCTGGGTTGGAGGCTCAGCCGCTATGTGACTTCACAGGAGAACCAGCAGAATCACGGACCCTGAGCAAGAGTAAAGCTGCAAGACAAGCAACAGCTCCAGAGTGGGACTTTTTGGGGTTTTGATTATTTGTTTCTATGGGTAATCTGCAAGAGCCTAGTGGATTAGGGTCTCCATCAGGAAGGACTACAGGTTTTTGGCCCTGGAGTGGAGTCTCACACAGCAAAAGCCATTGGTCAATCCAGAGAAACAGAACAGGATAAGAGGTATACAGGGAAACAGAACTGGCTGAGAAACAGGGGAACATTCTGATCTTCTTAAATGCTGTTTTGTATCTAACAGAGAAGAGTTCTTAGACATGGGTTAAGCCAATAGGAAGTCTGCATTAGCAAGCTACACATGATGTTCAGGATCCCAGTGTAGTTTGAACCTTTCTCGGGGTGAGCTTTTAAGCACAAAATCCATGTTCTTGTTTGGCATACTTCAGTTAACAAGAACACTAAACCAGGAGCAGAAATACAGAAGCCAGAAAGCAAGGTTCGTACATTAGGAGCTTTCACAGAGCTACGAACTTGGATGCAGTAGCTCTTTGTTTTTGTTTGGCTGGTGATACTGTCTCCCTGTTGTATTTTATGACCTGAATGGCATTTCCATCATGCAGTCAGTTGTCCTAAGATCTGGGGGCCTGTTACATTATTTTCAGAAAGTAGACTTTAAAAGGATTATACCTATTTTCCTGATCTATGGTTTTCCAAGCAGCCACAAACCCGAAAATTATTACATCTATTCTATATGGCTTAGACATGATTTTAAACACCAAGTGGGTTTGCATTACAAATAGATGGCTGTGCTCCGGAAAGCCTGATAAAACTCATTCACTGTCATAGCTGTCTGCAGCCTTTGTTCCATAGTTGATTCACTTTCATGGTCAAATTCTTTTCAGCTTCTCCGTCCTTCAACACAGTTCAAAGGTTTACAATGATTTTCTTCCTCCTTTCCTTCTTTTCTTTGTTTCTTTCGATATATTTTTTAAGACAATGCTTTTCTGGTAGTCCTGGCTATCCTGGAACTTGTCCTGTAGGGCAATCTGGCCTTAATCTCAGAGATCTGCCTGCCTCTGTCTCTTGAGTGCTGGGATAAGAGGCATGCTTCACCACTGTATGGAAATTACAGTGCTTTTCAGCATTTGCTCTCTTGTGGAAATCTAGAAAGTCTCACAGCATTACAGGAAGAAAGAAAAGTCACATGATAGATTGTGTCCATTGTCACTGAGAAGTAAGAGCATGTAAGAAGGGACCCGTGCTCTTGCTAGGTCTGGGAAAATCTACACAGGAAACATAGGGCCAGAAGCATGGACAGGAAAGAGATGATATTTTTGAGTGTTGATTCATTTTCTTTAGAACCACCATAACTAGAAAAGATGGTTCCTGGACACAAGCTGGGACATGGCAGATGATGAACCCCTGGGTGCTATTATACCCCTGACAGCCAGTCTCTAAATGTCACTGTTGGACTTGCTTTGACTTAGTGAATAGCAGATGTATGTGAGAAATGTACTGGGACTGTCTTCCTCTGTAATCACACTATCTCTGCTGATGAGCACAGTTAAATGACTATAGTCAGTGATAAAGCTGGGCTGACTCAGTCCTACTCCTACTAAGAGGACTGCCCATGGCTGGGATTCATGAGGGGAAACAAAATGAGATGCAGGGTGAACAGCCCCATGTCTGTGAAAGGACAAAGCAAGGAAACACTGTGTTGATGTGAAAACAAACAGGGGCTAAGAGCTAACATCTGCTGTAGAGCTCAGTATGAGTGACCAATGGGCCAGGAACACAAACTCAGCTCACCCCATGCACCATGTCCCAACTTGACAGGTTTCTTGAAGTTTCTGCAGCAACAGGGAAAAAGAAAGTCACAGATCAAGATACTTTCTAAATTCATGGGTGACATCATGGGGCAGGCCAATTATAGCAACATGCAGGAATTTGATCCAGGCAGAAGAAATGAATACAAAGGCAGCTAAGGATAGCCAGGAAAACTTGGCTCCAGAATTTACAACATTGCAGCTCTCCACAAGCACAGAAATTCTGATCACTTGGCCTTGTAGGTTCATTGACACAGCTGTGGCTATTTTCTGGAAACCTCAGTTCACAGCTGAATCCCAGAGAAAAGGAAAAACAAGGCAGTTGCCCCCACACCTCTGAGCTTGGTTGCCAAGTGAATTTCCTCCTTCAGCCATAAGATTGGCTCATTACTCATACCCACTTCTTTTTTTTTTAATCAGATATTTCATTTATTTATATTTCAAATGTTCCTGGTGTCTCCTCTGGAGACCCCCCATCCCATCCTCTCTGCCTCTGCTTCTATGAGCTTGCTCACCCACCCACCTACTCTAGCGAGAAGCACCTAAAGAAATATTCAACATCCTTAGTCATCAGGGAAATGCAAATCAAAGCAACCCTGAGATTCCACCTCACAGCAGTCAGAATGGCTAAGATCAAAAACTCAGGTGACAGCAGATGCTGGTGAGGATGTGGAGAAAGAGAAACACTCCTCCATTGCTGGTGGGATTGCAAGCTGGTACAATCACTCTGGAAATCAGTCTGGCAGTTCCTCAGAAAGTTGGACATAGTACTACCTGATGTCACAGCTATACCACTCCTAGGCATATACCCAAAAGATGCTCTAACATATAACAAGGACATGTGCTCCACTATGTTCATAGCAGCGTTGTTTATAATAGCCAGAAGATAGAAAGAGCCCACTTACTTCTTAACCTTCCCCTGCAAGATTCAAATGTCATAGTACCAAGATTTCTCTAGAAAATCCCCCTGCAGACAAGACTAAAGACAAGATCTGTTTATCTTAGCACCCATCTCCAGGCCCTCAGGAAGTTGTGCCTCCTTTCTAGAAATCAGAATCTGGGTCCAGGCTCCGTTCTCACTCACCATAGTTTTGTTTGATGAGTCTGTTCTGCCTGGTCAGCTCCTACCCCTCACACTCTGAGTGTCTCTCTTCTTCCTCTCTGCACTTCTCTGTCTTCTCTACAAATGGGAAAACAAAAAACAGAACACCAAAGGGATAAGAACAGGAAGTAATATCTTTGCACCACTGTAGCTGCCAGTGGCCATGGACGAACTGGATTTACCTGAAAGAGGGGCTGGAAATGAACAGGAGATGGAGAGGCAAGAAAAACATGGAGCCAAAACTAAGTTTTCTGATCAAGGCTCAAAGTTTAATATTCAGCACTGTTTATACAGTGGAAGCCCTCACCGAACCCACCCTTTGTTACAGCTGGATAATGTTGTAAAGCAGGTTCAACAGAACTTCGAAATTATTGCAGGAAGTTGCAAGTATAAACAAAGCAGCTAGCTTCACCTAGGTGTTAAGGTCCTGTGGCAAGCAAGGTATGTTCAGACTGCTCAAGGCTAGGAAGGGCACCCAGCACTTTCTCTCCAACAGTCAGGACAAGCTCTCTGAACTCTTGCTTTTTATATCAAAGTTGCTTTCTTCAATATCCAGTGTTTGTGTTGGGGAATGAAGACTCTCCCGGACTTTGATCTCATTTATTGATTATCTGTTTAAGTTTCAGGGAGCTTCTCTTATGGCACTATGTCCCTAGAAGAGTCACTGTCACATATGTTCATAAATTGTACAAAAATTACTCTGTTGTTTCGTGTTTGTTCCTTATCTGGAATGGCAAGAAAAATTATACTTATGCCCAGGACACGAGAATAACCACATGTATAGGTAGAATGAATATATTTTAAATCTCAAGAATTTGTTCATATCAAATATTAATTCCTGAGTGTGTTTCTTCATTTTAATTATAATAAATAAATATTTAATTGATTATATGCACATGCATCATAAAATAATCTCTCTAAATCATAGTTTGTTTTCAAATTTGATATCTATTGTAAAATCTTTAATATGAAAAGTAATCAATGCTGAAATATTTAAAGAATATTCCTGTTGTGAGAGCAATAAAATGTCACAATTACATCACAAAAATATTTGCAAATACTTTATGAAATTCTAAAACACTATATGTCATCTCTCAGCTATGCCTCTGATGTACAAAACAATGTGCTGTTGATTCAGAGTTTCATAACTCTACCTTCTGACTGAAAAGGGTTATTTCTAGTTAATCTTATCTGTCTGTTTATACACAGGGGACAGGCACTTGCCATGGCATCAGAGAACAACATGCCAAGCCCTATCTGCCTCATTGAGAATGTGAAAGGACAACTGACAGCTAACCAGAAAGCCCTGGAGATCCTGTCTGCCATCACACAGCCTGTGGTGGTGGTGGCCATTGTGGGGCTCTACCGCACAGGCAAATCCTACCTGATGAACAGGCTGGCTGGGAAGAGATCAGGTGAGTGTCACCAACAAGGCTGTGCTGTGCCCTGTGTGCACTCGCACTGTCTGCTAGCTGAATGAGAATGTGAAGAATTTAATCCTTTACTCACTGCTGTCCCTTGGGGTCCTTTGTGTTGTTGTCATAGCTGCTTTTTCTGTTTGCTTTCATTTTTGAGGCAAGGTCATGCTGTGTAGCTCAAGCAAGTATCTAGCTCAGTGTGTAGTCAGGCTGCACCCAAACCCATGATCCTCCTGTCTCAGCCTCCTGAGTGCTGCTTACATGTCTGCACCACCATATCTGTCTCTAAGTTTCCCTTCTAAAACCAGAAAGGGTTGCTTTCCTTGATGCAGAATGGAAGAAATTAATTGAATTTAATTTACATGGTAATTAGCTTAAAGGCATTGATACAATGTTCATGTACAAACAATGTTTTTTTGTGGTTCAAAACTCACAAAGGGCACGGGCGGAGTCGGGGGCACCAGTCGCTGCCTGGGGAGCCACAGTGTAGTCCCTGGTCCCTGGGGCTCAGCAGCGTGGCTCAGCTGATGGTTCGACCTTGCCAGCTCCACGTTGCCAAGTAGTCCTGGGAATCAGGGTTGCAGAGGAGAGAGGGAGCCCCAGGGATGTCTGTGACAGGGAGAGCAGGGACCCAGCATGCCTGGCGGCCACGGCTGAGTCCCCAGGGCAGCCCGCGAGGGCTCGGATGCACAGGACAGGGGCAGCCCGCAAAGGCGGTACACAGACTGCTGCTCCAGGGGAGAGAGCCCCGCAGGCGGCTGCAGCAGGGAGTGTGGGGAAGGCCTTCGGCTTGAGTTTCCCACTTACACAAGGAGTCCAGAATTCCAGGAGACACTTGGAATTGAAAATATGGACGTTTTATTGTCATGGTAGTTTTATCTGGATGGCGTATTCTCCCACAAAATGCCAGGAGGGCTTCCTTATATTGGAAAGAGGAGGGGCTTGGGAGATGAAAATTTAGATATCTATGTCCCGGCTTTAGGTAATTCATTAATATGTAAATCTTGAGGCAGAGACCTGTTCCGTGCCCTCTACCTGTGCCTTATATGACCCACTGTATGATAGGTCTCTGGGTTCTGGGGCATACCCAAACACCCCAGGATTTCTACAGCCCCACATCCCACCCTGTTTTCTTTCATAGAAGGAGGGGCATCTCTGAAGGTGTAGATTATAGGAGATATATGTAGGCCACATGTGGGGATGTTACTCCCATGTGACAAATGACTGTGGGCCTCTCTGTGAGAGTGACTGTGGAAGGATGAAGGTGAGATAGTGAGAGCCCTAGGAAAAGGTCGAATCATCTTCTGTCCCAGTGGTTTTCCAAACCAGGGTGCTGGGGTTTTAGAGCTCTTCTACCAAGCATCTGGCCTTACTCGTAGATCACTGCCCCACAACTCCCTCTCTTAGGAGAGGTGTCACTTGTAGTGAAAATTTTGGATGAGGAAGTCAAAAGAAAACACTACACAGGCCGGGAGGTGTAGCATAACCAAGCCAAAGGTAATGGGAATTAAGAGTTGGGTTGGGAAAGCAAGGAGTCGTTGAATCAATTAAATACATATTGTACAATCCGAGAGTAATGGCATCTGATTAATCTAAATAGGCATTATGATTTCCTCACTAACACATCACTTCAGCTATGTGACTTTGGCAAGAGTTCATCTGTGGCTGGAAGGTCTGGGTTTGTCTTCCATCTCAGCGTGTGTTTCTGTGTCTTAGCGAGCATCTCTGGGTCATCAGTCAGACGAGATGACTGGGAGAAGGCAGCCTGGCAGGTTCAAGGAGGTGGTGCTGTCTCTAAATATCAGTGTCAGCGTGTCTCTGGAGTCTGCAGTCTGACGAGATGTCTGGAGAGGAGGCTGCTTGGCATCTCAGGCAGGTTCCAGAAGATGGCATTGTCTCTCCTGGATCTGTGGGTATAATCACAGGGAAGCAGCATCTCCGGTAGCGAGATGTCTGGAAAGCCTGGATATCCAGCATTAAATTACTCCTGGAAAGCTGAAGGTGTTTGAGGAAATTTTAGTCCTGGAAGGTATCTTTGAGTCTGTTTTTGGATGGCTGAAGGAGAAAAACATTGTGTTACTAGTATCTGAAATAGGCATCCACAGTTTGTCTGTGAAAGGAAATTAGTTGTTAATTAAAAGCTGAAAGATGGTGATCAGCATGTTGATTTAACCTGTGGAAATAGATTTAGATGACTTTCAAACCTTGAAGAAATGTTAAAAAGTTGAAGAAAGTGCTGGGCATATATCACGTGTATTAGAGAGAAAAGGACATTTTTGGCTGAAAATTACAAAGGTTGTTGTTTTATAGGTTCCTGTTAGGGAAAAAAAGGAAGGATTTAAATAAAAGCAAGAAAATTTTGGGTTGAGAAGCACAAACATAACTGTAGGTATTCCTGTTTGGAAGGAAATTATTAATGAAGGGTTTAAGAGCAGTGGGAGAGGGGCCTGCTAGAAGCCAGGGCATTGTCCCCTTCTGTTTTTCTTAGAGAAAGAGAAGAAAGGCCAACTTTGAAGAACAGCTCAAAGCGAGAAACATAGGAACTTGATCTGAGCCATGGGAGGAAGACACCTAGAGGCAGGCATGGAGCCAGCAGCTTCTGGGAGAAGCTGGCAGGCAACTCTCAGTTCAGGCGCTTTTTGTGTGTGAGAAAGACAGAGGGGGAGGCGATAACCTCTGTTGGCAGGCAGCGCATGGGAGATTTCTGAGGGGAGGGTAAAGAATGGAGATTAAGGAGTCTCTGCCATCTTGTAGAGAACACGTGGAGAGAGAAACCTAGTCCTTTTGACCTAGGCAGGAGTTAGACTGTAGTTAACAATTAGAGGAAAGACATTAGCCAGGAACACGAGAAGGAGAGAGAGTGGAGGTGAAGGATGGATGGACAGAGATGTAACTAACGGTTTTCACAGGCACCAGCAGGGAGCGCTTTTGGAGCTGGCTCTGCACACATTGTCTACTGCTAGCAGGGGGAAATAATGATGGTCCGTGTATCTCCGGAGCACGGGCGTGGAGTTGTCCACTTCTCCTGTCTGGAGCAGATGTCTCAGGGAGGCAGAGATCACCGCAATGGACTCGGGCGGGAATGAAGTCAGCCAGATTTCAGTGGGCATGGGCACAAGGCTCTTGAATGTATAATCTCTGTTCTGGGCCCCAAACGCCACAGGTGGGGGAGCGCAGCAGGACAGAGACTGTGAGGGTGGGTGGGGTTGTGCTTGGACAGGCCAGCGTGCTGATATTGATCTCTATTCTGAGGGTCTATGGACACGCAGCAGAATAGAGGCAAGGGAGTGCACGCAACAGTGTGTGCTGAGGAAACAGGAGAATCTAGACGCCATGCCCTGTTGAGCAGCCCATTCACTCTTGAAGTCCCTGGGTGTCTGTGCCCCACGTTGTGCCAGCTGTGGTTCAAAACTCACGTGAGGCGCAGGCGGGGTCAGGGGCACCCACGAATCTCGGTCGCTGCCATCCCTGGGGAGCTGCGGTGTAGTCCGCAGTCCCTGGGGCTCAGCAGCGTGGCTCAGCTGATGGTTCGATCTTGACAGCGCGATGCAGCCGAGCAGTCCCAGGAACTGTGGTTGCAGAGGAGAACGGGACCCCTGCAGATGGCTGGGAGAGGGAGAACGGGGACCAAGCATGCCCAGTGGCCATGGCTGAGTCCCCAGGGCAGCCCACGAGGGCTCGGATGCACAGGACGGGGCAGCCCGAAAAGGCAGTAGATGAACTGCTGCTGCAGGGGAGAGAGCCCGGGGGCGGCTGCAGAAGGGAGTGTGGGGAAGGCTTTCCCTGGCACGAGTTTCCCACTTACACAAGGAGTCCAGAGTTCCAGGAGACACGTGGAATCAAGACATAGAAGTTTTATTGTCATGGCAGTTGTATCTGGATGGCGTGCTCTCCCACAAAATGCCAGGAGGGGCTTCCTCATATTTGAAAGAGGAGGGGCTTGGGAGATGAAAATTTAGATATCTACGTCCCAGCCTCTAGGTAATTCATTAATATGTAAGTCTTGAGACAGACCTGTTTCATGCACTCTACCTGTACCTTAAGTGACCAACTAACTACATGTTAGGTCTCTGGATTCTGGGGGCGTGGCCAAACACCCCAGGATTTCTACAGCCCCACAGGTTTTTACTGCTTAAAAAGTATATCTATGGTACATGTGTTAACTTTCTTATTATCATAAATTATATAAGATTATTCTTTATAGTTTATTTTAAGTATCCAGATCTTTGGCATTAAATAAATCAATGCATCTATGTATTTCCATCTCTACAACTGGCCCATTGCCCACTCCATCCCTCTATTCCACATGCTACATGAATGACTTTGACTGTCCTAGCAGTGTCACATACATGGACTCACACAAAATATAGGCTTTTCATTACTTGTTCTCCCATTTAACATGATTCCTTCAAGGTTTGTCACTGTGAGAACAAGACAGCAAAACAGTCTTCTGTTTTCAGGGACAATGGTCAGGTATGCCTAAACATTGTCTTATCCATTCACTGTGGAGAAGACAGTTGAGTAGCCTGAATGATGCTCATGTGAAGATGGCTATAGAGACACCTGTCAGAGCCCAGCCTTTCAGGTTTCTAGGTTGTGTTAGTCTCATCACTGATCAAATGCCTAATAGAAGCAATGTAAAGAAGAAGGGTGTATTCTGCTCAGAGTTCAGGGTCTATCAGTCCACTATGGCAGAGGAGACAGGGCTTTGGGGCTCTATGTGTACTGGTAGGAATTTGTGACATTTTTGTATCATGGATGACCAAGAAACAGACAGCACAGGTCCACAAGCAAGCCCAGTATTAACATTCTAAGGCCTTCCCTCTGCCAGGCAAATCCTACCTCCTAATGCATCCATCTCTCCCAAAACAGTGGAACTAACTGGGACCAAGGTTCAAATACATGGTCCTGTGGTGAATATTTTATATGCAATACAAAGCATTCTGCTCCTGGATCCTAAATCACTGGCTCCATTTTCAATAGTTCTTTTAGTTTTATAGTGCTACTAGTATAAAAAATTCTAAGTCACATTTCAGATTCAAGACAACTTGTGATATACAATGTCACATAATAAACATTCCCATTTCCAGTGTTCAGGAGGATGGGAAGGGAAGAACACTCCATAACAAGACTGAACCCCAGCAGGGCAAACCCCAGATGCTATAGCTCTACATGCAGAATACAAAGCATATGGGGTCTTCTATACTCTATTATCTGCAGACCCTGCCTCTAGGATACTGCTATTTAAAGGGTACAAGGTATTTCTCTGGGGTCAGGGGCACTCACTGACTCCAGCTTTCCTCAGGTGGCATCCATCAGTCCTGGCATCTCTAACAACCCATGGTCTCCATGGTTATATCTGCTTTTTTATCACAGCCTCACACACAGCCAGCTCATCAGTGTCCATCTAAAAGACTGACCCTGCTACACATTCCTTTTGGAACATTGGTACAAATCTGGAGGCCTTGTGACTGTTGCATTCTGCATATCTGAAAATGAATTTCTGTTATATCAGTGCTAGTTTTGGTTTCAACTAATTCTTCTGACTTGCTTGCATTGATTTTTCAAGAAAGAGTCATTTGTTTTAAATTCACATGTGTGAATATTCTGTCTGTGTACTATGTGCATACCTGGCACTCATCGCTGTTAGACAAAAGCATAAGTTTCTCTAAAACTGGTATTCTATAGTTGTCATCTGCTCTGTAGATGCTGAGAATTGAATTGTAATCTTCTTAAAGATCAGCAAGCACACTTAAACACTTTCTACTAAAAATATGTTAATTTTATTATTACTTTCTGAAAGCCTTGATGATAAGTATCTAACCCCTCCTTATATCTCTGGTTTTCAGGTTTCTCTGTGGGCTCCACTGTGCAGTCTGAAACCAAGGGCATCTGGATGTGGTGTGTGCCTCATCCCAAGAAGCTTGATCACACCTTAGTTCTACTTGACACTGAGGGCTTGGGAGATGTGGAGAAAGTAAGAATGGATTTCCATTTGTAATTCAGCCTTAACCTCTGAATGCATTATACTGTTGTCTATGCTGTTTTAAAATCTTTTATTATTGTTTGTTTGTGTGTGTGTGTGTGTGTGTGTGTGTGTGTGTGTGTTTGCATGTACCTACGTGTGCATGCTTGTGCACATGTAAATGTGTGAGTGAGTTCATCACAAGTACCATGTTGCATGAGCTACACTGCACATGTCGAGTTAACAGGACAATATGTGGGATCAGTTCTATTTTCCCCTATGTGGGTTCTGGAAATTGAATGCAGGCTGTAAAGTGTGTAGTTTTTCAGTAAGAGTTTGAACCTCACCATTCCCTCCTAATCATTCATACTTACATGACATATGGTCATGGTTAGCCAACAATAAGGAGGGGAACTATCACAAGACTGGATTGTATAACAGCAAAATGGTATTCTGCAGAATTAAAACACGATAAACAGCTCTTGTGAGAGTCATTACAAATGAATCCACAAACTAAGAGAACAATCACCCTGCAAGTGCTCTGGACAGCAGCTGTAGGTTTTTGCTGTTTCTATTGTTTGGTTTTCTACCTTGCATAGGTTACAAAGGTTTCAATTTTTAAGACTAATATGCCCTCTCATGAAGTGTGCATAGTTTACCACTGCTGATTTGGAAAGTGATATAAGAACAAGACATAATCTCAACTCACATGTGTGCTGACTTCCAGGGTGACAACCAGAATGACTGTTGGATCTTTGCCCTGGCTATACTACTAAGCAGCACCTTTGTGTACAATAGCATGGGAGCCATCAACCAGCAGGTCATGGACCAGCTGCAGTATCCTTCCTATAGTTCAGACCTACCTTCATGACTCTAGATTTTACCTAATGCAATATAAAATGATAATAACACACATATATGTAGCAGTCAGTGTTCACACTCAAGTTAGGGGTGAAGCAAATGAAGACTTTGGTCAACATTTGGAAAGATGTGGAATTACTGTGGCATTGGGTACCTGGAGCTTTGGGTGGTGCTCAGGTTGTTTTGGTGGCCTTCCTTAATTATCTAATCAGCTATGTGACAGAGATGACACACAGAATCAGAACAAGATGCTCCCCTAAGGATCATGATTTAGAGGACTCAGATGAGTATGTGAGCTTCTTCCCAGACTTTGTGTGGAGTCTGAGGGACTTCTCTCTTGAGCTGAAAATACATGGGCAGCCTATCTCAGCAGATGAATATTTAGAGAATTCCCTGAAGCTTCTTAAAGGTAAGAGACATACAACTGGTAAATGAGGATAAAAACAAAACAAAACAAAACTGAAAGTTCAGGTTCTTCTGTCTATATTTTTCTTATACCTGGAGTTCTTATTTCTTCTAGCTGACTATACATAGAAATTAGTGTTTAATGTATGATTTGTCAGATTGAGATAAGGATTTCTCTTATTTATTTGTCTTTCAGTTTCCATTACAGAGATTAATTAAGATTAATTAAGTTTCCAATACAAAGATTGACTACTCTGCTTTAAAATTAAGATATATTTGAAAAAAATAGAGTAAAGTGTTACATTCCCCAACTACTGGAATACTGTGGCCCCCAGACATGATGGGTTGTCAGTAATCTATGGAAATCAAATGATGCTGTCCTCATGGGTCTGCATGTTGTCTGTGCAAACAGTCCACCTACTCTAAGTGGGTTGAATCCTTAAAAGCCACCTTTCCTGATAAAATTACCAGTATTTATAATGCCTTTTCCAAAAAAAAAAGTTGAAGTAGAAAACACTGACCAACCCCACACATTCCTATTCTCTCTTCTTGTTGTGTGTTTTCAGGGTCTCACTCACTATGTGATCCAGGCTGGCCTCAACTTATAATTCTTCTGCCTAAGTTTTGAGCAGTCCAGGATTGCAAACATTCACATGATTGAATTTAAAACATATATTCAGCTCACACATCATAGCTTAAAATCCTGTTTTTCACTCCATCTAGGTACTGGACAAAATGAAAAAGATCTAAATCTGCCTCGAATCTGTATCCGTAAATTCTTCCCAACTAAGAAATGCTTTGTCTTTGAGCGCCCTGCACTCGGGAAGAAGCTTAACCAGCTGGAATCACTGCAGGACCAAGACCTGGACCCTGACTTCGTGGAACAAGTGGCAGAGTTCTGTTCCTATGTGTTCAGGTCTTCCAAGGTTAAAACCATTTCAGGAGGCCTCAGGGTCAACGGACGACGTGAGTCCTTTCCCAGTCTGTCTGCTCACTGTATAGGCCACACTATCAGGAGACAGCCCTGACCTACTTCAGCTTTGAAGAAACATTAAACTATCACCACTGCCCTGCTAAACTGCACATGTAACCAGAATTTATAATCAATTTGTCTGTCAGATTGTCTTGCTGGAAAAGATAAAAGAATGCAAAAAAAAAAAAGAACTTAAGAAAACTTAACTCACCTGCGTACACTGGACTTATGTAGGCTAATAAGATAGTCACTAAACAAGTATAGCTCTAAATGTTAAAATAAGTCCAATAAGATGTACATGGAGCTGATCATTGTCAAGTTAGCACACACAGAACATTTTTTTTGGTAATTCTATTTATTCTAATCAACCTGACAGAGAGTTTATGACAATGTTTTGTTCCCAAATGGGAATGAAATACTTAATACGGACAGTGTTGGTGACACAGACAGGCATGATGGAGGCATGGAGCCTGTTGTCATAGTGCTTGTGTAAAAATGGATGCAAGCATTCCATAGACATGGGCCTGTGTAACCTCTATCCAGCATTCTTAGCCTTTGGGGTTGCAGGAACCTCATGAGAGGATCTTGCTAAGAGGAAAGTCTAAGTCCATCACTATGAGAGAGAGGCTGGGATGCTTCCATTTGTCATTCTTCCATGATGCTAAGGACACTGATGCTTTATGACATCAATGACTGACATACCTAGAATTTCACAGAATAGACTTGTCTTCATCCATCTGCAGCAAACATTGTTATGTGTTTCCTGGTTGTAGGACTAAAGAGTTTGGTGACAACCTATGTCGATGCCATCAGCAGTGGGTCTATACCCTGCATGGAGAGTGCTGTCCTGGCTTTGGCCCAGATAGAGAATTCAGCTGCAATGCAAAGGGCCATTGCTCACTATGACGAGCAGATGGGTCAGAGTGTGAAGCTCCCCACAGAGACGCTCCAGAAGCTGCTGGACATGCACAGGACCTATGAGAAAGAAGCCACCAAGATCTTCATCGAAAATTCCTTCAAAGATGATAATCAAGTGTTCCTAACAAAATTGGAGGTAATTTTTTCTCAAGTTTTCTGAATGTAGATTTAGAAAAGAAATGAAACTAGTGTCTGTAATTAGTCAATTGCTACTAGATTTTGAAGTAGTAACAAATACCTATTAATAATAAATACAAAAATGAATTACAATAGACTCAAAGCTCTGAAACATTTCTGCTGTCATGAATAAGATAATAATACCACCATTCAAGGAATTAAAGACAGTGAAGTAATTAGTGTGTCTGATCACATTGTATGCCCAGTGTCAGCAGACTGTTGTAATATTCAAGCCAATAACAAATTAACATTGAGCCATGTTTATTCCTTGTGTCATCTTTTTATTTATTTTTCTTAAATCAAATCATAATTTTTACTTATTCACACAGGGGTTATAAACACAAAAAGGCAAGATGTGGGGAAGGGGATGACACTGGAGTGTGGGTGTTCAGGGGGAGTACAGATATCTTTCAGGCCAGGGTATTGCCTGGGTAAATGTTCAGGGGATAGGTCACTATGACTCTGTCTATGATTCACTTGTCCTTATCTAAGTTGGTATTATCTGCCAAGGATACCTATTTACAAGGTCTATGACTACTCAGGCTGGTAAATTTCCACAAAAGCTGCCTGTTTACAATAGCGTATAGCCCTCTGTTTCAATGCTTTTCCACAGAGACCCAAGACTTGATGTTAGTATACATGTATGACAGGCCTATTGCTGATTTTAGGCCTATGACTGATTTTAGGCCTTCAGTGTATAAGCAGGGCTGTCCCTGACATCTCCTCCCTTCTCTAAGTGTAGAAGGGCTGTGGCAATTCTAATCTTGGGAAGGCGGGGATAGAGGCCTGACCTCAAGTAATTGAAGGGGACCTTGTAATGGCTCCGGACCCCTGTGGTTGTCCAGTGAGACATGAGGGCCATACCCATCCCAATATCTTTTTCCTGGAGAAGGGATACTTTTGACATCAACCCCTATGCAGTGAGGCTTGTCCCTCAGGGAACCCAGAGAGATATTTTTAACTTTTATTTATATTCCCTTGCAGTGCTTAGCCTTGTAGCCTAAGCAAGAATTCAGATCGCCTGTCAGAGGGGGTTCTGGGTGGTCCCTCTCTGCTTAAAAAGAACATGAAAAAGGTCAGAGAAGGTGCTGAGAAAAGACAGAGAGAAAAAGAGAAAGATGAGAGCTGGTACAAGAATTGGCTTTCAACCTCTCCATGGTTGTCAACCCTACTTCCTCCCATCTTGGGACTATTAACTGGATTATTTTTGCTTATTTCTTTTAGTCTCTGGGACTTAAATAGACTGAATAACTTTGTGAACAACAGATAAATAATTTGGTAGCACAACTTATTCAGATACATTATCATAAGTTAGCTAAGGAGGACTATGAGACTCAAAATGAGGTTGTTACTCTATCCAAGGTGTTCCCAAAACACATCTCCACTCAACCTAAAAGAGGGGACTTCCACTCCTTGTGTCATCTTTACCCAATCTTAAAATGTAGTATATGTCTAAAGGTGTAAATCTCTGCTCTGAACTTCACTATCAAGGAGCAAGAATTACATCAGTAAAAGCTGGCATCTGAGGCAAAGATCTAGTTAGAGTCAGTGCTCATACGACTTTATTTGTTTTGCATTTGATTTGGTTTTGTGTTTTCTATTTGCTTTTCTTTTAAGGAATGCTCTACAAAATTCTAAACTCTGGCTTTCTTTTTCTTATTATTTTTTTCTTTACCTTTTTTTCCCTAAAGATGAAATTAGAACAAGAGCAAAAGGAATTCTGTAAGAAGAATCAAGAAGCATCCTCAGATCGATGCTCAGCTCTGCTTCGGGATATTTTCGGTCCACTAGAGGAAGATGTGAAGCAGGGTGTTTTTTACAAACCACGTGGTTACTGTCTTTTTAACCAGAAGATACAGGAGTTAAAGAAAAAGTACTATGAAGAACCTGGGAAGGGGGTGCAGGTAACTATGGTTATGTATCTCCTGGGAAGTTCCTTACCACCAGACTGCATGGTCTCCAAGCATCACTGGGGAACTACAGGAATATGCGCTTTGTGTATGACATATGTGAAGATTATCATACTGAATATGTCCTGCTCACCTATTAGATACAGTTAACAACTGAGTTCAAACTGATCACATTAACCACCAGTGTGACCGTCACCCTCCATTTCAGCTACACTCTTTATGTTGCAAAGGACTCAATGACAACCCCTTAAACAAAATTTATAATTGATCAGTTTGGTCTTCACAGTACCTTTAAATAATATTATCTGATGTCTCTCTGTCTATCATCTTTCCCAACTCCACTCTTCCTTCCTCTCTCATTCACTCTGATCTATTTGTTCTCCATGAGGGATTACTTCTTCAGCAAACTTACACATCTATGACCATAGTACAGGTAACTCCAAAATTAGAACCCTCTGTCTAAAAAAACAGTCTTTGTTTTCTAACAGAGGCCTCCAATAACAGGCATTCCTTCCTGAGGTCCAGCCTAGACTGTGTGCTTGCTTCTGGGATTGACATCATTAGAGGAAAGGTCAGTAGGGAAGAAGGTACAAAAGTTTGTATCATTCTTCCTGTTAACTTTATGTTCCCTGTGCTCAAAGGCTGAAGAAGCTCTCAAAAACTATTTTCAGTCAAAAGAGGATATAATAGATGCAATTCTACGGGCAGACCAAGCTATGACAGAAAGGGAAAAGGAGATTGAAGGTGAGACACATGTTAGGGACTGTGTGCCTTCCAAAGCCATGAAAAGTTTAAATAACCTGTAATCCTGGGACCCTAAACTACAGCTAAAAGAATAAAGCTGCATCTTACTGGCTGGCGTCAGACCTGGGTATCACTATGAATTCAGCAGTAACAATGAAGTCTTAGAGAAAGAGTAGGACAGCATTTATACCTTCTTTCTTGCTTTCCTTCACAGTGGAGCGTGTGAAAGCTGAAGCTGCAGAGAATGCCTCAAAACTGCTGGAGAAAATGCGAAAGAAGAATGAGCAGTTTATGGAACAGAAGGAGCAGAGATATCAGGAGCACATAAAACAGTTGACTGAGAAGATGGAGAAGGAACGGGCACACATGGAGGAGGAGTTTCAGAGGGCCCTTGAGCACAAATCTCAGGTATTATGATTGTAGCATCATCTATACTCTCTTCATTAAAAAAGAAAATTAAGCATGCATGTGTGTGTGTGTGTGTGTGTGTGTGTGTGTGTGTGTGTCCGTGTCTGTGTCTGTTTCTGTGTGTAATTGTTTGTATGCATCCAGTATTTCTAGAGACCCAATGAGGGAGTTAGATGCCCTGGTGCTAAAGTTACACGTGTTTGTGAGCCACAGACATGGATGCTTGGAACTCAATTAGACAGTAGCTTCCTTTCACCAATGGAACTGTTTCTTAGCTAAAGGGACCCCTAAACACTAAAATTTAATCATAAATAAAAGCAGGTCAAATTTATAATAAAAATTAAGGTCCAAAGAAATGTTAAGAAATTAAATAATCAAAATTAACTAGTATGGAAACTGCATAGAACACAGGAATCGACCCCTTGCAATGGTTCATTTTCTTTTCCTGTCACTTTTTAGGAAGAGAAGAAAATCCAGCAGGAGTATGAAAGACTTGAAGAAGAGAATAAGCATCTCCGGGAGAAGGAAGCCAGTCCCAAATGCATCATAAGCTAAAGGCCTGACAAACAGCGCTGTCCAGCCACCCAAAGCAGAACTGAACAGCATGTAGAATTGGGAACAAGCAGCACCCTACTTGATAATAATTGGTTCTGGCATCAGAAAACTAAAAGTCAGGAAAGACACTCAGGGCAATTGTTGAAATCGTGTTTATCTTCCTTAAGACTGTGTGCAGAGGACATCACTGACTCTCTACCATGGTAGAGGGATCAACAGACTACTCAGAAGAAAGTCACTTTTCCAAATAATTGTCTCCAGGGAACAAATGGACCCTGAACACATTCTTAAATCTTGGTGCATGGTTAGAAAACAAGTTATCTAGGGGTGTGATTGGTCTGAAGGACAGGACTAGACAGCTTCATTTCTTACAATGTAAAGTTGTAGGATTCACTGCACTGTGAATCAAGACACCTGCATGGACACCTAGGATCCCAATATATAATATCCACAAGATGGGAGAGAACCATTAGCATGACAAGAAGCTGAAGCACAAATGGATGGGCTGAAGATGCAATTGTTTCCGTTCACATAGGTTAAAACTGTAATGGATTCTTTCCAAATTGAACAGTTGGCACTGGCTTACATAGTAGTGAAATGCTCAAGCACAATGTAGAGCAGTAACTTGAAAGACAGACTTTAAAGGATGATGGGTAATCTGTTAGATATTAAAAGTACTTTAGTGATTTATTTGTAACCATAAACTCACACTTGTATTTCCCTATTATTAGCATCTGTAGTTGAAATCCGTTTGATTTTTCCCTAGGCAGAATAAAGGCTCTTGTTCCCACGTTTTGACCAATTCTTAGTACTTTTGAGTATATATAAATGATATTCCAACAGCCAAATGGTTAACGTCTTGGCAAGTGGTTAACGTCTTTTAAAAGGACTGAGAACTTTTAGGGGGCAAGGAACAGTGGACAAAATGCTTTGCAATCATCAGGACCTAAATTCAGATCCTTGCATCCATGTAACTAAGCACACATTGTGTGGTACATCTGTAACCTAGCCCTGAAGGTGGAGTAAGGATAGACAGCAGGATTCATGAGACTTACTAGTCAGCAAGCCTCGGCAACAAATAAGCACTGGTTTCTCTGAAGACACTCTCTCAAAAATAATGTAGAGAGCAATTGAGAACAGAGTCATATTGTCTACTGGAAGTTGATACGACCACAGATAACCATATGAAGCAAGTTAAATAGGTCTCAGAAGGACAAATATGTGTTTTCTTTAACATATAGCTTCTAGCTGCATATAGTCACATAAAAGTATCTATGTATATTTAACAAAAAGTCATACTGAAACTATCTAAGGAAACGGAAGAGACTGACAGGACAGAGGCATGAAGAGGGGTGTAGGAGCAAGGGGTAAAAAGACATGCTTATATAAATATATCCTTTTACAACACAGTACCATGCATAATGAATATACACAATGAAAATTACAAAAATAATTCATTTTTAGATGAATTTTATTAGATATTTTCTTCACATTTCAGCTATTATCCCCTTTCCCCATTTCCACCAACTCAGAGCTCCTCTATCCTATAACCCCTCGTCCTGCTTTTATGTGCCCCCACCCACTCCCACCTCTCCACTCATTTCCACCTTCCCACTCTTGAATTCCCCCACACAGGGGCATCCAGCCTTCACTTGACCAAGGTCTTCCTCTCCCAAGTATGCCCTAAAGGCCATCCTCCCTTACATATACAGCTGGAGCCATGGGTCCCTCCCTTTGTGCTCCCAGGCTGGTGGTTTAGACCCTGGGAGCTCTAGTTGGTTGGTATTGTTGCTCTCTCATGGGGCCCCAAACCCCTTCATCTCTTTCAGTCTTCTCTCTGACTTCTCCATTGTGAACCTCATGATCAGTTCAATGATTAGCAGTGAGCATCTGCCTCTGAATATGTCAGGCTCTGGCAGAGCCTCTCAGCAGACAGTAATATCAGGCTCCTGTAAGCATGAACTTCCTGGCATCCACAACAGAGTCTGCATTTGGTGACTGTACAAGGGATGGATCTCCAGGTGAAGCAGTCTCCAGACAGCTCCTCCTTCAGTCTCTGTTCCACACTTTTTCTCCATATTTGCTCCCATGAGTATTTTGTTACTCCTCCTAAGAAGGACTGAAGCACTCACACTTTCGTCTTCCTTCTTCATGAGCTTCATGTGGTCTGTGAATTGTATCTTGGGTATTGTGAGCTTTTGGGCTGATATTCACTTATCAGTGAGCACATACCATGTGTGTTCTTTTGTGACTTGGTTACCTCACTCAAGATGATATTTTCTAGTTCCATCCATTTGCCTAAGAATTTCATGAATTCATTGTTTTTAATAGCTGAGTAATACTCCACTTTGTAAATGTACCACATTTTCTGTATCTATTCCTTTGTTAAAGGACATCTGGGTTCTTTCCAGCTTCTGGCTAATATATACATATACATATACACATACACATACACATACACATACACATACACATACACATACACATACACATACACATATACATACATATACATAGTAAGGCTGCTATGAATATAGTGGAGCAAGTGTCCTTGTTATATGTTGGAGCATCTTCTGGGTATATGCCCAGGAGTAATATAGCTGGGTCCTCAGGTAATACTATGTCCAATTTTCTGAGGAATCTCCAGATCTCCAGACTGATTCTTAGAGTGGTTGTACCAGCTTGCAATCCCACCAACAATGGAAGAGTGTACCTCTTTCTCCACATCCTCTACAGCATTTACCATCACCTGAGATTTTTATTTTAGCCATTCTGACTGACGTGAGGTAGAATCTCAAGGTTGTTTTGATTTGCATTTTCCTGATGACTAAGGATGCTAAACATTTCTTTAGGTGCTTCTCAGTCATTCAAGTTTCCTCAGTTGAGAATTGTTTAGCTCTGTACCCCATTTTTAATAGGGTTATTTGTCTGGAATCTATTAATCTTGAGTTTTTTGTATATATTGGATATTAGCGCTCTATCAGATGTAGGATTGGTAAAGATCTTTTCCCAATCTGTTAGTTGCCATTTTGTTCTGTTGACAGTGTCCTTTGCCTTACAGAAGCTTTTCAATTTTATGAGGTCCCATTTGTCAATTCTTGATTTTAGAGCATAAGCCATTGGTGTTGTGTTCAGGAATTTTTCCCCTGAGCCTAACTATTCAAGGTTCTTCCCCACCTTCTCTTCTATTAGTTTCAGTGTATCTGTTTTTATGTGAAGATCCTTGATACACTTATGCTTGAGCTTTTAAAAGCCTATACTTAACAAAACTTGAGAATTTGGATGAAGTGGTATCTATACAGATACCAGGTACCAAAGTTAAATCAGGAGCAGATAAACCATCTAAACAGTCCCATAATCCCTAAAGAAATAGCAGAAGTCACTAAAAGTCTCCCCACCAAAAAAAGCCTAGGACCAGATAGTTTTAGTGCAGAGTTTTATCAGACCTTCAAGGAAAAGCTAATACCAATTCTCTTCAAACTATTCCACAAAATAGAAACAGAAGGAACACTATCCAATTCATCCTATGAAGCCACAGTTATGCTTATACCTGAAAGCACACAAAGACGCAACAAAGAAACAGAACTTCAGAGCAATCTCCCTTATGAATATCAATGCAAAAAATACTCAATAAGATTCCCACAAGCCGATTCCAAAAACACATCAAAATAATCATCCATCATGATTGAGAAGGTTTTACCCCAGGAATGTAGGGATGGTTCAATATATAGAAATCCATCAATGTAATCAACTATATAAAGAAACTCAAAGAAAAAAGCCACATGATCATCTCACTAGATACTGAGAACGCTTTTGACAAAATTCAACACTCCTTCATGGTAAAAGTCCTAGAAAGATCAGTAATTCAAGGCCCGTGCCGAAACATAGTAAAAGCAATATACAGAAAACCAGTAGTCAATATCAAACTAAATGGAGAGAAACTTGAAGCAATACCACTAATATCAGGTTCTAGACAATGCTAATCTGTTCTTAATAGTTTGTCAAGCCAAGATTTCCAGACAGCTGCTCCATCTAAGATTTCTACAAACAGTAACATGGCCAGGGTTAAGAGAAGTTCAAGTTGGGTTTCTAGGTGACTCTGTTTCACAACACAACATGATAGAAAATTTTCTGTGTATGTTTGCTTGACAATTCACTCTCCCTGTATTTGAAGTCTATGTAGTCTCCAAATAAAGGATAGTAGAAGCCTCCAGGTTTTCCTCTACCACTTTTTGTAAGGAAAGGTTTTGAAGTGTCAATTCAGGACAACCTGGACCTGTTGTCATTATGAACATAGACTAAAAGTGAAAGCAGACAGGCTCAGCTTCTGGGAAACAGCCTGGATGTCAGGAAACTCCCTACAGAGATGGTGGCATCGAAAACCAGAATAATATGAGTTTGAGGCTAGCTTGAACACCTAACTGGACAAAAGACAGATTATTGGGACATAGGATTGGGAAAAAGCCCCCCATCCCTGAATAAAGCCTCACACCAGCTGACAAGCTAGCACTGCAGTCCACTTACCCTGTGCCATAAAGGCTGATGCAGGTGTGTGTGCAGTTGTTTCATGTGGCCCAGGCTTAAGGATGAAAGTACATGACCTGAACAGGGCCTTACTCTCTTCTCAGTCATGGTCCAAGTTTACTGTGAAGATTTCCTTCATTCCTATCTCCTTGTGTGCTGGATGTTGACTTTCTTAATTGTAAGCTTGTGAGAGGTCCTTGGGAAGCACACTTTAAAGGTGCTAACTTCAAACCTCAGCAAGGCCTACATGTGGTTAATGCCTGGTATATGATGTGTGCACTCAATCATTATAGGATTTTTTAGGTTTATCTTCTATATGTGTTGTTTTCTACACTTCTTACAAAAGTACATGTAGCCTAAACGTGTTACATGTGGGGTTTTTTTCAAGATTTTATTTTATTTGCTCATGAGTATGTGTCTGTATGCAGGTACCTGCAAAAGACAGAAGAAAATTTCAAATACCCTGGAACCAGAGTTGTAAACAGTTGTGAGTTGTTCTGCATGGTTGCTGAGATCCAAACTCTAGTCCTTTTTAAAAACCTGATCCACCTGTCTTGTTAGTTTGGAAAGCATCAGAAGAGGCACACTTAGTCAAAGCATTAGCACATTACCACCAACTATTCTCAGGGGCTCCACAGTATCACTGTTATCCAGACAAATTAACCTCTAAGGGAGAATAGCAGGCATCAGAATAAGAGCAAGTGCCTAGGTTGAGGCCTCTAATGTTAATTTGAACTGTCCTCTCTCACAGTGAATTTTGTCAGTCAATGGGCTAACACTCTGCTTACTTCTTATCTGGTGTAGAATGAGAGCCAGGTGTCTGAACGTAACCAGCCATGCTGGGCAATTTCTGGCTGTGAAGGATTAACTCTACTCCAGGGTCCCATCTTGTGGCATAGAGTTTGATTCCTCTGGTTTTCCCAAGGCCAGATTCTTTCTTACAGAATTTTGAGAACTTTAATTTTGTGGTCATTGGGTTACATTTCCTATTGTTCATTTCTTGATAGATGGATTTCTTTCTGTCTGTTCATCCGTGTGTTTTTAAGAAGACTCTGTTTTACAGCCTCAAATCTTGCAATAGAAACTCCCTTGCTCTTAACAGCTACAGTCCAGACACAGTGCATGCACTGAATTGCAGATTCTTAATTTTTATTCCAAAAGATGAATTCCCATATCTTTCCCCGTTTCAGTATGTAGAATCAGCATTTAAAGTGAGCAACAGTGAAGTGCAAGTCAGGAAGAATGTAGGTCACTGGTATGTAGTCA